TCTCCCTCTCCCCTCCCCCTCTCCCTCTCCCTCCCCCCATTAGTGATGAGAATTAAACTCACAGCCTTTTGCCTAAACTTTTCTAGTATCCACAGTGCTTTACCACTGAGCTGCACCCTCAGCCCTGCCAGTCTTTAAAGGGTAACTTAATGCTGTCAGAGTTTGGAATAACTAATATGTTTCAGAGGCTGCAGATGTAGCTCAGTAGTAGTGCTTGCCAAGCATGCACAAGCCCTGGGTTTAATCCCCAGCACCAGAAAATAGACTGTGTTGCTCTTCTATTAAATTAACTTCATTTTTTCTCTTTTATTCTCCAAAAGAACAACTACTGATATGTGTGAATGTATTCACTTATTCAGCAAATGGTTATTGCATACCTACTATGTGAAAGAGGCACTGAAGGCACAATGGGGAATGTCTCAGTTACTTCGTCCTTGCTGAGACAAAATACCGGACACCCAAAGTTAAAGGAGGAGAGGTCTATTTTATCTCACAGTTTGTGGAGGTTTCCGTCCATAGTCGGCTGGCTCCCAGGCAGGGCGGTGTGGCAGAGGAGACACAGTCTAGGCAAGGGAGGCAGAAGGCAGCAAAGCAGCAAGCAGCAGGAGCAGCCTCCTCTCCTCTTTATCCCTTCCAGGCTACACAATTTCGGTTGGTGCCACCCACCCCCAGGGTGGGGCTTCCTATTATCCTAACCCAGAACCATGCCAAACCAATCAGTGGACTGATTTAGTAAACTAAATCACCGTTATCCCAACATCACACACCCTAGATCCAGCCACCTGCGAAAACCCCCACCTATGACTTCATGGGAGACCTCTAGACACAGCCGTAAGGAATGAACAGCTCAAAGACTTGCCCTCGTCCAGGATATATTCCATGAAGGAGAACGATTCCTAAATGGAAAATCGGTACCATCATTTCCGGTGTCTTGAAAGAAGCAAGGCCGAAGCGGAAGCCAAGGCTGAGGAGGGGCAGGGAGGGTGGGGAGCAGAGCAGACCCTGTGTGGAGGCGGATGGGAGCCTTACCATGGAGAACCGGTGTGGACGACAGCACTGCGCACGCGCAAAGTCCTCTCGGGCGAAAGCTTCCTTTGCTCCAAGGTCCTCGGGTTCAGTGTAGCTGGAACCGAGCAGAGGGAGACGGGGTGGAGAGAGCAGGGCCACTGCGTGCGCCCACGGGAAAGCCTGCTAAGGACTGGAGGGAGACTGCAAAATTCGCTTCCAATTGCAGAAAATAATTTTAGATACCAGATCTGTTATGTGTTTTTAGACGGTTTCAATTGTGAGTTTGATTTCTACATTAAATTCCTTCCAGGGCACTACAGTGTATCCATGCATTAAGTTTCAGTTGCAAAAATAATTTCTTTAGATCTCTTGATGAGTTCTTTTTGTAGCCTTTAAGTTAGAGAAGGAAATGAACAAATTCGTTAAGACTGAACCCAATGGAGGATGCTGTGGTTTAGAGGAAGCATTGCTGATTGGCGAGAGGGTGTGGTTTTCTTTCTTCTCTGAACATGATCATTTCATATGCCCCCAAAAAGTCAGTCTCCGGGCCGGGGATGTAGCTCAGTGGTTCCGACGCCTGCCTCGAAAGCGCACAGTCTCCAGTTCAATCCCCGGTACCAAAAAAAAAAAAAAAAGTCTTTTGCTTTTTATTACTCAATTCATAATACTAAAATTTTCCTCTAACGGTGTATCAAAACAACAACTACAAGGTTTAGTGCACCTTCTTAAATGGCATGGTGAACATATCAAGAATAAACTAAGGGCTGGGATTTAGCTCAGTGGTTTCGCCGTCTGCTGCGCAAGCGCAAGAACCCGAGTTCGATCCCCGGTACCAAAAAGAAAAAAAGAAAAAGAATAAACTAAATGATTTATTTTGAACTCCAGCAGAAGGCTGAAGCAAGGTTTCCTTTTTCGCCCGTGGGTGGCAGGCATGTCCGTTTGTCATAGATCTCTATGCAGAAAGGTGCGAGCCGAGAACGAAGGCTGTCAGGATGGAGGCGAGCAGTGGGCAGCTTGAGAAGGCCACTTGTCAGTCTGTCCTCCGCCAGGGCGAAGCCAAGGCCATGGCCGGCTGTGAGGACATCATCATCCACACCCGTAGTTGTGGCTTCCGGATCACATCAGTCATTGAAAATAAGGTATCAGTTCTGAAGCGGCTCTGACTATTTGGCTATCAAGTTTACTAACTTGCCCTTTCTTTCTCGATTTTTACATAGTAATTAAATATACCATCATGTTAATGATCTTTATACGGAATAATTATTCTCCCTATTTCTAAATCAAACTGGGCGTGATGATTCTTGTATGATTTTTAAAGGCTTCAGATTATACTTTTCCTTTTAATATACGAAAAATGTTTGAAGATCAGGGAAGATGCCGTATAATCTGGGTACAAAGTGTTTTGTGTGGTGTGCACACAGTAGGGGCCACCGGAAAGCGTAAAACATGGTCTCAGCTTTCAAGGAATTCATGGGCTGGTTGGAAAGACAAATCTAATGCTCTCCAGAGAGACCAGAGAACAATTAGATGGCACAGAGTGAGGCCCGAGCAGGAGCTGTGTTCGGTGGGTATCTCTGGCAGCAGGTGTCAGTGTGGCTTTGCGATGGGGCAGCGGTCTGTGGTGTGGGGTTTGGGCCAGAGCCCACCTCTAGAAGCAACGTGCCCGGGAAGGGGAACCCAGGAGGGTCGGGAGGAAGTGTGGGCCCAGAGAGCAGCTGCTTTGCAGACAGTCTCTCCGCCGAGTACCTGCGGTGCGTGGCGCTGGTAGAGTGGATGTGCTCTGAAAAGCAGGGGAGGAGCTGGGCCTCCCGCAGATGCTGTGGTCCGCGGGTGGTGACTGTGGTCTTGCAATGGCTCCGGCCTTGTGGGTGGAGCCCAAGCTGCGCCTGTTGCCGTCTCTGCCCTCTGTGTCTTCCAAGGATTGGAAGGGTGGAGGGAATCACTGCCTTACCCCAGCCTCTCCGCTCTGCTGCTGCCTCCCACTTCACAGCTCTACCTCCTTTAACTCAAGCAAAGTCAGGAAACGTCCCTCAGCAAATGTGGTCATGCTACTCACATTCCAGGCTCAGCCGCCCCATGAGGTGAGAGCCATCCCTGCTCTCCACACAGGAAATGGAAGTGGAGGGAGGCGCGGTAACTTGCAGAAGGTGGCACTGCTAAGAGTGGAAGAATGGAGAAGCAAATCCAGATGGCCTAGCATTCTCTGCCCCTTGGTGGTCAGCGGGGATGATGGCGGGCTCCTTAGGGGTGTGTCTGACGCTCCCATTTCCCCTGTTCATCGCCTTCATCCTGCTCCTCCGGCTTCCTGTCCAGCCTGCGGGCCGTGATTAACATCTCAGGGTCACTTCTTCTACCTCGTCCTCCTGGGAGCCCAGTCTGAGCTAGTGTCAGACCTCTGTGTTTGCCCAGATCCTTCTCCATGCTTCCATCACAAGATGCTGTGAAGTGTTTCCTAGCTGTCACTTTATTTGTCTTTCTCCCCTAGACTGCCCACCAGCCTGTTGGGGTCAGGAATGATGTGTTCTGTCCCAGTGTCTCTAGAGCCTGGAACATGCCTGACATATGGTTAACGTTGACTAAAGCTCTGCTTACTGAGGGAGGGAAGGGGGAGTAACCGTTCAGTGGGGTTTGCAGCCTGTGAGTTGGACGGTGGTACTGATGAACAGGAGACAGAAACAGGTTATTGCTGTAGTATGCCAAGCACAAGATGATGTGGTGCTAGTGTTCCTGATGGTGTGTGGATGAAGAGTAGAGGTGAATCCACAACACATTTAAAAGAGGAAGTTTACAGAACTGTTGACAGAATGAGAATGAGTGACAAAAACTCAGGGACGTGAAGCTGAGAGGAATCACTTAGTCCATATGAGTAACACAGTTTCAGGGCTTATTCTGAGGTGTATGTCTTGTTTTATTGAGGAAAGTTCTACTAACTTCTGAAATGTTCTTTTACAGTCAGATAATAAGGCGATTATTCATGTCAACAATGAGCTGAGTCAGAACTGCGTCAACAACAGAGGACCTAACATATTTGCAGTAGAAGTGGCACCGCACTCTACCATGGTAATGCACCAGTTCCTGATGAAAGCCCTGTCTTTCTTGTGTCTCTTTGGAAAGAAATTTTTTTCTAGTAATGTTACGACTAACCATGTAGATCGAGCCAGGCGTAGTAGCACAGGCCTCTGATCCCAGCACTCAGGAGCCCGAGGCAGGAGGAGCACAGTGAGTTCAAGGCCAGCCTGGACTGGACTACATAGTAAGACCCTGTCTCAGAACAAACGAAACAAAACCATGAGGCTAGGAAAGGGAGTGGGCAATTAGTTTAAGTGTGATGCTCATACCCGTGTCAGTCTCCACCGGGACCCAGAGGCTCTGGTTCTGATCCAGCTCCATCGCCCTGGTTGAGTGACCGTGGGAAAGTCGCTTCACCCCCGCCCAGGCCCCTTAAAGGTAGGACAAGGAGAGCATTAGAAGCGTGGACACTACACAGGGTTACGTAGAGATAAAACAGAGTGACGTACGTGAAAGCACTTTTGAACACCATGTAGAGAGATACAAAGTAGGATTAATAGTAATAGGATTTTAATAACTCAAAATCTTTTTGTCTACACTATTCATGTTTTGAGATCACGTGATAAAGAAATAGCTGTTTTAGGGAAACAACTGAGTCCAGAGCCAGGAGCAGCTGTAGCTCTGGTGCTTGAAGAAACTCTGGTTTCTGATTTAGCCCCAAATTCAGAGGCAGGGACAGAGCTGGGGGCTCCTGGGGTTTGGGAAGGGACAGGTTAGCCGTCCACACTCACCTTTCTTCCTCCAGACTGTCTTTAGCCCTAACTTGCTCTCACATGATCAGAGGAGAGGGAGAGGTTCTCTTTTATGTTCGTCCAAGGAAGATTTCTGGAAGTGCTGCAGGCTTGGTAGGAAAGGATGCTCCCTGAAGTCTCCGCCCACACTGCTAAGGCTCACACCCGGGGCGGGGTTCAGCCAGGTGTGCTGTCACACCTCAGTCTCGGCTCTCTGTCCCTGCTGAGGCAAGGACCATAGGGTTTGATCAGCACAGGTGCATTCCACCATAACTGGCTTCACAAGCATATGTTTTATACAAGGGCTAGAAGTGTCTCCTGACAACTGGCCAGTAATGACATAAAAGAAAAGTAAAAGCTTTCTGTTTTTATATGCAGGTTTGTCAACATGTAATGCCTCTGAATGAACGACAAGAATGGACGCATCATTGTGTTTATTCCCTCATATCTTAACTAATTCCCTGAGGAGCTATCAGGCTAAGAAGTAGTATTGTAGATTTGCTGTTACTTATTTATTATGTATTATTCAATTTAACTGGTATACCTTTTTAATAATTAATTTATATGCATTTACATTTACATGTCATATATCTTAGGTATATGATACGTAATATGTATGATACATACTTTTATATGATGAAAGTATGTTTTTGGGTTTTTTTGGTACTGGGGATCGAACTCGGGTCCTTGCACTTGCGCAGCAGGCAGCAAAACCACTGAGCTAAATCCTGGGCCACGATGAAAGTATAATGTTTTTAATGTGTGCTCTTATTAATTTAGTGGGAAACTTAAAGCACATTTTGTTTATGATACTAAGTCAAAAGAAAATTATAAATAAGCCTTTTAAAAGTAATATTCAATGAACTCTTCAAAATCCTATATGCTTTTGTTTTATTTTAACTCATAAAAAACTTAAAAGAGGACCAGGGACTTAGCTCAGTGGCAACACACCTGCCTTGCAAGCACAAGGTCCTAAGTTCAACCCCAGGTACAAAAACGAAAAAACTTAAAAGAAAATATAACTATAAAAATAGCCATTTAATTTTCCAATCATAAAAGTTTAACACAAAATTTAAAGAAATTAGTTTCTATATAATGAAGCCAAAACCTAATGATGATAGTAGAAACATTTTGTAAATTTTTGTTTGTTTACTGCGGACTGCTTTTACTTAACTGTGTTTTGAAATAATGGGAATTAAATCTACATAACATTAAATGAAACAGAATATGGCATGAAAAATAATATTAAGCAATTAGGAACCATGTATCAGTAACAGAAGAGTGGACAATAAATGTCACCATCTGAAATATGAATACTGTATGGCAGATATTATTTTTGTACCCAATACAAGATGGCACATAGTTTAAATGTCATTTGGATTTGGGGCCCTTGATTTAGATTTCTGTAAACTGGGTTGCCATTATCTGGCGGTTAGAACTCTTTAGATAATATATCTTAAAAAGTAGTAGTGAAATATGAACACACTAACTGCCAAATTCTTTATAAATCCAAAAGATGTGGCCATGTATTCTGTTTTACCAGGTACTGAGTTATGGGAAATCGTCTATGATGGTAAAAACATACAACAAAGTTATGTCTGTCCCACATCATAAAGGACTTTGTATAATTTGGTGACAGTGGACGTGGACTGGTGTCACTGGGACACAGGGACTCGGGGAGAATATGACAAGCACGGGAGTCTTGCCCGTCTGCCCATGGCTCCTTAGATCATCTGAGCCGCTCCTTTTCTTCCCATTGCTCATGAGCTCGACAGTGTCATTTCTGTTAGTTGAAAAGACAGAGGTATTTTGTTTCAAGTTGAACTTTCTTCCAAGAAAATGAAGACCCACAGGGCTGTGTCTGCGTGGTGGAGCATTTGCCTGGCTCCAACAGGACCCAGCTTTGAGCCCCAGCACCGCTAGGTGAATAAATAAAGTGTATAAAGTAAGAATATGAAAAATAGAAAGCTGAAGCATCCAGCTTAGTAGAAAAAGGCCCTGCTGCCCCGGACCTCTCCTGTGCCCTGGCTTCCATCCCTGCCTGTTCCCGCAGTGTCCCCACGCTCTCTGTCCTCTGGCGCTGGTTGCTTCCCACTGTTGCTGTGCACGTGGCTGCTCTGTCACTTTCTTGGCTCCTGTCTGTGTTTGCAGTTAATTCAAACAGTAGCTGTTCCCTCCCAGGTCGTCAGTAGCACCCTGTTCCGCTGCACTTTGAGAGTCAGGCCTTGTCCCCAGTGTGGGACTCTCGCTCTTTCTGGGACACCGTATTCTTCAGATTTGCTTCTTGCTGCTGACCGTTCCCTTGTAGGTTTCCCTGCACCCGTACTTCTGTAGCCCCGCCCCCAGCCCTTTGCAAGCACCGCTTCCTTCTCGCAGATAAAAGTGTTCTTCCTTCTGTCTTCTCTCCTGGCTCTGTGAATGTCACTTTTGCAAGACTTCCTTCTGGGTCACTCGCACAGCCAAGACTGGCCGTGGCCCTGGCGCCTGCTCGCTCAGCGCCCAGCAGCAGCGCCCAGCAGGCCTCTTGAAGATCGCCTTCCTTATTCACCTGCACCTGGCCGAGCTTCACAGCTGTGACTGCTGTGACCCCGGTAGGCCTCATATGGTATTGTATGGATGTTAGAAAGACAGTTGAATAAAATGAGCAGAAACTTAAACTCACATGTGGTATGAATTTCCTATCGTTCTTCAGACTGTTTATAAATTAAAAATCAGAAGCATAAGAAAAAAAGTCTCATTACTATTCAATTCCATTAATCAGGACTTTATTTTTCATTTCATTAAAAGATTAAAACATAACATGTTTAACAGATTAAAATACAACAGAATTAATTTTTTACTGATAAATAGGCAGTTTTAAATAGAGAATTATCAACATTATCACTGTAATACCTGTAACTGTAAAATTCTGATTCTTATATTTTGAAACTAGTTTAAATGTTATCAAATACACTCATAAGCAAATCTTAAATTACTGTATTAAATCACTTTATTGATTTTCTATTATATTGCAGTAGAGCTATTTTCTTAAAAAGCCAGTTGCCTTTTTAGATCTGTTTTTGGTGTAGGTTAAATACAGAGCAGAAACTTAATACACCATACTAAACATATTTTGGGTGTAATCCAGGAAAATGGAAATGTACTGTATTTCTGATTTTGGCCACCAGAGGGTGAGCATATTATTTTCTTCATTGAAGAGAGAGGTTGATAATATTCCTCAGCACTGTGTTAAGTCCTTTATGATTTCTAAGACTGCTTTTAGTGATTTGCTTTCTGCAAACCCAGACATATGTACCTCTTCTTGTCAGGGAATTATAAAAACAATTTCTAAATTGTCCTCTTAAAAAGTACTGACTTTTACTCCCTCATGAATGCACAAGTACAGGGAGATATACACATGGCCCTGCTGGCTTTACATGGTATGAAAAGCCTATCTTTACTCTTGAACCTGCTCAGTCATTTCTAGGGAAAAGTGAACTACATAATGATTTGAGGAAAAACACAGCAAGTAGGGGAAATGATTTAAAGGAAGTGGGTGGGATTCATATAAAGAGATAATTTGGGCCTAGGGATGGCCAGTAGTTGTTGAAAATCTAGGGAGTACAGGACTTTGGTTGCTTTGAAGAGTTTGCACCTGTTAGCTGCAGCTAGCACTGTCTAAGGAAGTGCAAACGAGGTATACTTCATTCTTGTGACTCATTCACAAGCTGCTTATATTTGTATTTGACCAAAGTAAGTTTGTACATTAACAGTAGGTATTCTGCTGGGTTTTTTTACATATTTCTGAAAACACATGTGAATGTTACAGATAAAGCCCCAATGTTGTATAAAGGGATTAGATTATGGTTCCATTTCTCAGATATTAAAGAAAACATATTTTCTTTCAGACACAGTTGAGACATATCCAGAATTTTATAAATAGCCCAGATTTTATTCTCTTCTTTACAATCGAATTGGAGATCAACCCAGTTAAACTTGAAGACTAGCTCAAGGTCAGGCATCTCACTGAGGCTAAGGCTGGCTATAATGAAATGCAGTACCAGCTACAGAACGGCAGCATTGGAAGCTTCCTGGCAGTTTCAGATACGAGTATCAGCATTACTGAAAAGTACATTTCTCTGTGCCCTTTAGACATCTATTACAAAAATTATATTTAGCTTTTGAAAAAAATTATTTTCTTCCAAGCAGAGAAGTTAAAACATGAGGAATAGAATAGACTGGATAGTAGTTCACAAGGACATACAATTAGCAAGGATTGATCACACATTGCATTAGTTATAATACAGAAGAAGTGTGAATGATGCCTGTTCTCAAGAAAAGAAAGAGTTGAGGCAATGAGTTACATGTGAGCCGATTGGGGAATAACATTAATCTTAAGTTAGTAGACGCTGGTGATTACACATTCAGCTAGTGATGATATGGCAACAGGGCGGGAGAAGCTTGCCCAGTTTAGGAGCTGTAAGGGTAGAGGAGAATCTTGGAAGAATGAAGAAGTATAATTTGAAGCTAGTGCTTTGATTTCTGTCATGCAATATTTTTTTTTAAATAACAAAACTGGGCACATTTTCATGGCATATAGGAAATGAGGCATAGGTTTTAAAATACTGAGAAGTACTACACTAAAATATTAGAGTGAAAAATGGAAACAAAGTCTATGTAAATAGGGAAAGGTGGAGGGATGAAGGTCACACAGGTAATGGGGAAAAAGTAAGAACCAAGATACATCATGTACAGGTACAAGCACCCAGTGATAAATGTAAACATTGTATAACTAAAATGTACCAATAAAAGAATTTTTAAAAAATATTAGAGTGGTTCCATAGAGTGAGTCAGGACATAGAAAATGCTCTGGAAGAGTAAGGGTCAAGAAGGAGCTAGAATTTAACTGACCTTGAAAGGGTAGGAGAGACTTAGAATGAGGATGAAATTTCAGGCATTTTCTCCTACGTTCATTTTCCCTGGAGGGCCCTGTTATTGCATTAATGTCACAGGCAATAGGTCATTAATCGTGTCCCCACCAGCTGCCTCTCTCTGCAGAGCGTGGCTTCAGGTGCCGCTGACAGAGGTGAGCAAGCCAGACGCTGCGCTGCCCTCATTACCCGGGCCTCGGCAAAGACAGATTGGGAACCGGTACTGCAGGCTGTACCTCTCACATGCATTTTTAAAATGCCTCATCCTTCATGAAACCTTTAATCCATCCCCAGCCCAGAAGAAACTCTTCTACACCCTGAGCTTCTATTTTAAAACCAATACCTTTTATTCCTGTGGGATTTTTCTTTCAGATGTAAAATATTATGAATTTGATCCTTTTGGGGGGGATTTCGTGGTTCTATTAATTTAACACACGTGCAGATCCATACAGCACCAGCACTTCCAGGACACAGAACAGGGCTATCACCAGAAACTCCTGGTGCTTCCTGTTGTAGGTTCATTCTGTCTACAACACACACACACACACACTCACACACACACACTCACTCACACCTAGCTCCTGGACCTTCATCACTATGTGCGTTACTCTGGCCGATGTGCTGAGTGACTCGGAACGCTACTGGTTTTGAGAAGTGTTCAGAACCAGAGAAGGCTCTGCAACAGGTCCAGGCTGCTGTGCAGGCTGCTGTGCCCCTGGGCCATGTGATCCAGCAGATCCGATGGTACTTGAGGTGGCAGTGGCAGGTAGGGATGCTGTTCGGAGGCTCTGGCGGCTCCTGAATGTGAATTGTAGTGGAGGCCTTTAGGCTCTGCCATCATCTGCAGACAACAGCCCTCCCTTTGAAAAAAGCTGCTGGCCTGCTACTGGGCCTTGGTGGAAACTGAATGCTTGACCATGGGACACCAGGTTACCATGCAACCTGAGTTGCCCATCATGAGCTGGGCATTTTCTGATCCATGAGTCATAAGGTTGGACATGCACAGCAAGTCTGTCATTAAATGGAAACGGTATATATGTAACTGGGCCAGGGCAGGTCCAGAGGGCACAAGTAAGTTACATGAAGAAGTGGCCCAGATGCCCATGGCTCCTATTCCTGCTATATTGCCTTCTGTTTCCCAGCATGCACCTGTGGCCTCACGGGATGCACCATATGACCAGCAGTCAGAGGAAGAGGAGGTGAGGGCCTGGTTTACAGATGGTTCTGCATGTTATGCAGGCACCATCTGCAAGTGGACACGGCAGCACTATAGCCTCTGTCCAGGACATCCCTGCAGCACAGTGGTGAAGGGAAATCTTCACACTGGGCAGAACTTTGGGCAGTGCACTGGGTAGTATATTTTGTCTGGAAGAAAAAAATGGCCAGATGTGTGGCAGTATTCAG